TTTTTTTTTTTTTAACAGTTTCAACACCGTTTAAAAGTCTAAAATCCAAGTCTTGTCTCTTACTCAAGACAATCTCTTAAGTGTGAGCTCCTATTAAAAAAAAAAACAAACAAACCATCCAGCACTACATACTTCTGTTATGCAATGGCACAGACTAGACATTTATATTCCAACAGAAAGAATGGGGGCATACTAAGGAAAGCTCGAGCCAAATCTGACCAAAAGCGAGGAGGGAAAACATCAAATCCTGTGGCTCACTGTTTGTCACCCAGGACTTCTGATGGAATCATCTGGGTTTTTAGCCCTGTTTCTTTCTTGGGCTGGCTCTAGTCTCTGCTCATAGCTTTCCTTAGTGGACATCCTATGGTCCTGGCATCTCCAATGTCCTGGAGTCTCCACTGCAATGCAGCCTTTTACCGTTCCAGCTTCATGCCATTGCTTTTCAGAGTCTCCTCACACAGAGTTTGAATCTAGCACATGTGAGATGGCTCAACTTGCTTGCTGCAAGCCTACGTGACTTCATCACTCCTGCATCTTTCCTGTCTATAAAGTCAATACACACAGATGCTGCCAGCTCCAGGTGTAGTGTGGTTCCCTCCGACTGTAGCTGCAGCCATGGCTGTCTTTACTTTTGAGACAGGAACTAAACATTCTTAGTTTAGGTTCTCTTCATTCAAAGTAATTTGTGTTTCACAAGTTGGAGGCTTCCCGGGGTAGAATCTTGTCTAGGGCACTTTTTCTATTGTCCCATGGCAGAACTTGATGTTTATCTTTTATGACACTAATCTCTTAACATACTAAAGCTACATTTGCTACATTGTTTCTGTCCACAGCCTCAAATGTGCTCACACTCCTTTCCTTCTCAGATTTTAAACTTCCCATGTCTTTCTTCTCTCTTTCACTGTAGATCTGGATAAGAGAGTGAGTAGAAGTCATATCATATCCTGATTTGCTGTTTTGGAATCTCCTTTGCTCAACAAAAATGTCCATTACTTTGGAATTCAGCAGCACTCCTACTTTTCATCACCTGGCTCTATAGATGATGATGAAATTCCTCTGTCCTTCCTGAATATTTCAGACTCTTCTGACATGAACAGACAGCAGCAGGGCATACCTGGACATCTTAGGGTTTTGATCAGAGTTAAGATCAGGATATGGGCAGAATGAAGTCAGAATCATTTCCAAAATGACGTTTGAACTAGTCCTTTTGAAACCTCAGGAGCTGAGCCTCCACTGTTCGCCTTTCCCTTGGTATTCTAGTCTAGCAAGCTCCCGCCAGAGTGGCCCATTAATCTCTATTCACAGAGTTCTTGGACTTCCTTATCCTGCCCCTGCAAACTGTTTCACATTCCTCCCACGGGCCAGTTTTAAAAGCCTATAAACTATGTGGTCATATCAATCATAGCAAAGATGCCACCTCCTGGCACATGTTTTCTGTATTACTTACTTAAAAAAAAAGATTTATGTGCATGTGTGGGCCCAGAAGGGAAAGCAGATTTGTTGGAGCTGAGATTTTAGGCATAGCCTCCCAACATACGTGCTAGGATCCAAACTCTGTTTCTCTGGGAGAGCAGCAAGGGCCCTTCATAGATAGGCCACCTGTACTAGCGATCTTTAGTGCTACAACAAAACATCTAATGAAAATAATTTAAAGAAGGGAGGGTTTCCCTTGGATCACAGTCTGAGGGTGCAATCCAGTTTGGTGGGTCTGGAATTGGCAGGAGGGGTCTGAGCAGCTCATCGTACTATAATCGTGTTAGGAAAGAGAAAGGCCAGCGCTTGCCCTGTATTCCCTTGGCGCTTCAGACACACATGGGAAGGTGCTTTTCATGTTTAGGATGGGTGATCTCACTCCACCATCCCTGTCTAGAACCCCGCCCCAACCAAGACGTTCCCAGAAGTTTGTCTCCCAGGCGAGTCTCAATCCTGCCCAGTGGACAGGGTAAGTTGTCCCAGCTACAGACCACCCTGTCCTCCAGCTCACGAAGATCGGCTGCCTCTGCCTCCCAAATGCGGATTCTGAGTTAAGTTCTACCTTGAAATTTCCCTTAAGGAAAAATTCCCTCCTCCACTAAAAAAAAAAAAAAAAAAAAAAAAAAGAAAGTTTTACTTGATAATATCCTTTTAATTGCAAATGATCATCCTAAAAGTTACCTGAGGATCCATCTCATCTATATTGGCTAAAACATTTTATTTTACGCAGTTGGAAACATAGCTAATACTGCTCTGTCAAATATGCATGAAATTTATATATTCTGGAAAGACCAAATTTCTGGTTTAATTTAATTAACATTAGCAAAAATTTAAATATGGATGTCTTAAAAATGAGCAGCCTTGGGAGCATAAATTATCCATATACCTGAAAAGGAAGAAAAAAAAAAACCCATAGCTTGCCAAGGAAATTAGAACAGCAAGAGGCAGAAATAACTCAAGCTCCTAGTTCGTGTCACCTGGCTCTACAGATGGTGATGAAGATGTGATTCCTCTGCTCTTCCTGAGCCTTCTAGCCTAGCATGGACAGAAAGCAACAGCACGTACTTGGACATGTTAAAGGTTTGATCAGAGTTAACATTTTAACATGTAGACGGTAGGATTCTCATGCATGAACACAAATGCATCATATTTATCTTCTGCTAAACATCTCCCATATAGCATTTCATTTAATCATTTTTAAAAAAGATTTTTTTTTCTCTTTCTCTCTCTTTTTCTCTCTCTGTCAGAGGGAGTCAGATCCTCTGGAGCTGGACTTGAGAGATGGTTCTGAGCCACCCATGGGTGCTGGGAACTGAACTTGGGTCCTTTGCAAGAGTAGCAAGTGCTCTTACTGCTAAGCCATGTTTCCAGCCTCCACTGAGCTCTTTTGAGAACCTGTGGCCATGGGTACTCTTTTATTGCCATTTTTCCAGAAAAGAGAAGAAGGGCCATTTACCACCCTTTATATTCAGCACTGAAGCACAAGTCTTGGAGGCTGACCCCCTGTTTGGGATGCCTTATTGTCTTCATTTGGCTTGCTGTCTGGAGAGTCTTGAGGAAAGCACCCAGCTAAGGATTATGACCACAAGGACTGCTACTTATTAATATTATTTTTTAAATATTGTATCTTTAACTACCACTAAAGCTAGAGTTTCCTCTATGCTGAGGACCAGTTTTCACTGGTGAATTTGAGATGGCTACTGGGCTTCTGCTTCCTGGGGCCATTTGGCTTGGTGGCAATCCACTGAGGACCGTGTCCAAGCATCAAGCAGGTGCAGGGGAAAGTGGCTGGCAGCGTGCTGCTCACTGCTACATTCTAAGTTTTAAGATCTGTTCAACACTCAGTTATTTCAGTAAATGCTAGTATTGAAAATGTTTGCAGATGCTTAAGTCAAAGGTAAATAGAGGTTTCACCCACCAGTTTAAGTGTGTATGCCTTTTGGTTGAATACCCATGTAGAGACAGTGTTCCAAACTTAGTCTGCAAATACAACCAGGGGAAGGTATCACAACCAAAGCAAAGCAAAGCAAAGCAAAGCAAAGCAAAGCAAAGCAAAGCAAAGCAAAGGAAAGCAAAGCAAAGCAAACCAAACCAAACCAAACCAAACCAAACCAAACCAAACCAAACCAAACCAAACCAAACCAAATCACAAAGGCCTGAGGCTGGAGAGTGTGGCTCAGTGGCTCACTGCCTAAGTCGGCGCGTCAGCTCTGCTCACTTGGTAGTGAAACAGATGGTGACTGTCACAAAGAGCAGCTTGCTATTCAGCCCCCTCAGCCCAGCTCAGTGGAGGAGGCTTAGGGAGTGAAGGTAGGACGCTGCTAGTTAGTGCTTCACAGTACTTGGCTATTGCCCTGAGGATCCACCCATGCAGAGGTTGGGTGGAAATGGTTACTTCATGCCCCCTTTTTGTTTTGTTTGTGATCACAAGATTCATTTACAAGAAATGACCTGTTCCTCTGAGGCTCAGGCGTCAGTTCTATGGCATAAGTGGGGTGAGGTTTTCCTTTACAGAGTGAAGGTTTTTAAGCTTGATCTCCCTCCAATTTTACTTGTAAAAAAACATTTAATTCATTCAGCCTTATAAAAACTGGAATATCCAGAGTTCGGCAGCAAGGCCTCCCGAAGGCTTATCCTTTACATAGTGCTTCCAGAGTTAGCATTGTAGGTATGTTTCTGTCGTCAAGACATAGCGTATTTTCCCACAGTGAGAATACTATTAACTACTGTGTTGATTAGCAGATTGGTTTTGCAGTGAATCAGATTCAGGGCATTCGAGTTGTCTTGATGAATTTGTGCTTTAAAGTTTCGGAAATTTGAACAAAAATCTTAACTGTTATTTTCCTAAATCTTCTACTTGGCAATCAGGTTCGCTTGCTGGCCTGGCAAGGCAGTAGGGCAGGTTGTTGTTGGGACAAATAAGTTCCACTTACCTACCTGTATTTTCAGGAATTCTCATCCTTCCTCCCTAGCTGTATTAAGTAGGACACAGTATCTAATATATTGAGTCCTGCCCATATGCCTAGCCTACCTAATCTTTTATCTTTCATCTCCCAAAGTCTCACAAGGTAGGTACAATCATTAAACCCCTTTACAAAGTGAGGAAGCTCAGACACACAGAGTTTGCATAATTGGTTAATGCAGTACCTAGGTTCAGACTCCAGAGACCATATTCTCCATTTTGACACCTCACATCATGCCTCAAAGACATGAACTCTGCAGGTTTCTTGGCTTAAAAAGACAAAAACAAAACAAAACCAAAAAAAGTGATTGTGCCGAATAGCTGTTTTCTGAAATTCTGGGGGTAATGCTAGAAAAGCAGTGATGTAGTAACAATGCTGGGGACGCAGGACAGTTGTGTTAGCAAGTTAGAGGTCAGCCTGAGTTACACAGTGAGCTCCAGACCAGCAAATCAAGGGCTTGTCAACATGGTCAATTCTCTTTCTCCTTAGAGTAGCCAGGCCAGCCTGGCTGTGACTCCGCCCACCCCCCCCCCCCCTCCCCCCCCCCCCCCCCCCCCCACTCACCACAGTTGTCCTCATCAGCTCCATTCCCACAGTCGTCTACACCATTGCAGTGAAGCAGCTGAGGCAGGCACTTGGTGATGTTCCCACAGGGGAAGGAACCAAGGGGACACCTCACATCCTGTGCACTTCCAGTGACTGCAGGAAGAGGGATAGAGATAGGGCATTTGGAGATAGCTGATACAAACGTAGCACCAAAGGCAGTCATGCGTCATCCACCTCCCGCAATCCCGCATAGTTCGCACACATTTGTGCCCTGGTCCAGTTCAGAAACCTGGCATTACCATCCACCAGGGCCATGGCTGCTTTCCAGAGCCTCTGCCTCACTAGGATGCTCTCACCAGCCTCCCTTCCTAGGACTCTCTTGCCAGCCTCTCTTTCTCTGTCCACCGTGTCCAAAGTGGCGGGCGTTGAACCCACGACTACCGCATGCTAGGCAAGCATTCTACCACTAAACTGTGTTTCCAGCTCCCGACACTCGGCATATTTTCTCAGCTTCTCTTTTCGTGACCGTGTGCTCATGCTTTGACGTCAGCTCCGCTCCTTTCCTCTATAGAAAGTGCTCTTCAGCTTCTTCTTTTTAAAGACAGAATTTATGGTGTCTTTACTGTGGGCTCCACCCTGCTTTTAGGGCATGAAGAAGCACGTGCCACCAGCTCATTTTTCGTAGTGGGTGGGTCTAAGTGGGAAGCCCTGGCAAGGCTGTGCTGGGACGTTAGTAAAAACCCAGCAGCTGTCCTGGCATGGGCTGCCGTCTGTTGGGGGGACACCACTGAACAAGTCAATAAACGATTCCCAGCTGAGAGGTGCACAAAGACACGAGACCTGTGTGGGCGTGGACGCTGCCTGCGGGCGTCTGTGGGCCGCCGAGAAGGTGTTCTGAGCAAACGAGAACAGAATGAGAGGAGAATCCGCGGAGCAGGAGGGAGGGGTGTGTGTGGAGGTGAGCGCGCGCGTGTGTGTGTGTGTGTGTGTGTGTGTGTGTGTGTGTGTGCAGGTGAGCGGGTTTAGGCCGAGCTTGTGATGGAGCATAGAGAGCAGGCACGTGTGGGCTAAGTTGAGGCTGAGGAGGCCGACAAAGATGAAGACTTCGGCCTTCATTAAAATGCAAGGGAAAGAGAAGGTGAACCTGGCCCTGCAGCCAGGGAAGGTAAGTGCTTTCCTAACGCTCTCTGGCTGCTGGAGCCCCAGAGCTATGCTGAGCTCTGGGCTGCTGCTGAGGAGTGTGGTAAGCCAGCGGAAATACTGTGGATTAGCACAGGGCGGAGACGTGGAGGGGAGAAAATGGACACGTTTCACACACACATTTCACCGAGGACGTAGCTGGAGCAGGCCGGGCAAGGCTGTGCGGTCACCCACTCTCCTGGATGTGAGGGTGCACGGAGTCACGTGGTGCATTCTCGCCAGAGCCCCACCGTGCGGCTTCCTTAACCAGCTAAGCATCAGGCCCATTCAGCACCACCCCACCTTTCAGAGAGCCACGAACACATCCTCCATCCCAGCCCCGCTTCCCCATCATCTCCCTTCTCCAGGTCCCGGGACCCTGCAACACCAGTCTCTCTCCTAACAATTTCCTCGGAGAGCTAGCATTCAGCCCTGCCACAATTCCTGCCCGGACTCTATTATAGTCTTGCTTCTGGGTGAGATTCTACTCTGACTAGGTAAATGTTTATTGAGTGGTTGATAGAAAATTAGTTACTATTTAAAACCATGTTTTTAGGAGAGAATGTGTTCTGAGTGTCCCAAACCAATTTAAAGTCATAAGACGTTACCTCTAGGAGCACATAATAAAACAAGAGGACGATGGGAACTTTGGAACTTCCAAGAGTTGAGCACATGAATTTGTCCCTGCTAGACCGCAACTTGCAGCAAAGGCGGTTAAACGAAGGCCATTCCACCTTGGTTCTCAAATTCTCTTATGTGTGTCTTCATCTTCTGATGACCCAGGAAAGCCACCTATTGCAACAAAGTCCCGGACACTGTGTGCTTCTTTCGGGGTGTGGAATGGGACGTTCGGAGTAGGAAAATTATAGTTGTAAGCATAAGGAGCAACAGTTGTCCCTAGACACTTGGGAGTAAACTTAGGGCCTCTGCCCCGAAAGAAGCTATTGAGAGGTTTGGACACCTGAGGACATCTGTCTACCCTATTCTGACTTTGCTGGGCTTAAAATAGATCAATTCTTTAGAGCCATTTTCGTTGCTCAACAAAATAGAATGGAGGGTACCTGTCTGGCACTCCCTACCCAAAGCAGAGCGCTTTCCACCCTCAGAGTCCTCCGTTAGAGTGGTGCACTTGTTAGACAAGATGAACCAACACATGGTCATTGCCAGTCGCTTACAGCATTGTTCGTTCTTGGTCTTGGCAAATGGGGTTTTGGCAAATGTGTAAACACATGTTCACCACAATTGTAATGTTGAGACTCATGAAACAAGACTCCAGGACCTGGAGAGATGACCCTGTGGCTAAGAGCACATGGCTTTTCCAGAGGACTTGAGTTTGGTTCCATCCCACAGGTTGAGTGGCTCACAACTGCCTGTAACCTCAGCTGCAGGTATCACCAACGCCGCTGGCCTCTGTCGGCCATTCTCCGTGTGTGTGTGTGTGTGTGTGTGTGTGTGTGTTCTCCCATACCGATATACGCGCACGCACCTGCAGCACCCCACCCCAACCGGAAGACATGGCGAAGGATGCATCACACCTGTGTCATACTCTGTGCTGTGAACAATATTCTCACTTGCTAAGTTGTCTTAAAACTCGTCAGGTCATCCATCACTTCTCCACAACAGTTGATTAAAGCAGAGTGGAAACTAGGGATTGTGTACCCCAGAACAGAGATACTATGAGCACATTTCTGTTGATACTGAGTTTTGATGTCTTCTTTATTAAACTTTAGACAATGAAGTTTAAAAATCAAGGCTGAAAAAATAAGACCACCTTTGACAAATTGTCAATCTCCAGCCCTAGCGGCTGTTTAGAGTTTTAGCTGGACAAACACAGCTTTCACGCTGCTTTTTTGAAGGTTCTGAGCCACTTGCTTTGGTGACTACATCGTTCTTATGTTCTTTTTGTTGTGATGGTGCTAGGGTTAATAAGCCCAGGGCCTCTGGAGTGCCAAACACACACTCTGCTGCTGAGATAAGGTCCCAGCTTACAGCTTATCTCTTAGGTTTAAATTTATATTCAGTGGCAGATACAGCTTTTCAATGACAGTACCATGAAATCAGTCTATTTCCATAACATCATAATTCAATTAGATACATTTGAAGCCTTAGATATCAGGATACAATTATAATATAAATAATGTTAGATTAGACTAATGTTAAGCTATAATTTTAAATTCTCCAGCTGACAGAGAACCTATAGGATAGAAGTCTTTTTATTTTCCTGAACTGTCTGTGACGTGCTCGCCTGAGACTACCCTCAGACACTTTGATGTGTACTCCCAACAAGAAAAAAAATCTCCCACAGCATGGCTCAACTGTCAAAGTCTGATTAACACCCATTTGCCATTCCCATGGGAGCCTCAGCGTCTGTTCTGGCTGCCAAATACCCTTTAAGTAAAGGGGTCTAGTTTAGCCTCACCCCATCATGATTTATGTCTTCAGTCTTATCTGGAGCCACTTTTGTTTCCTTTAAAAATCACTATTATTGTGCATGTGGGCACAAGTGGGCATGATGGGCGTGCATACCCGGCACATGTGTGAAGGCCAGAGGACGGCCCTGAGGAGTCACTGGGCTCTAGGAATTGAACTGGTGACAAGCACTGGCACTGGCTGAGCTGTCTTACTGGCCTCTTTTTAATTTTTATCCCACCGCTTCACTTTCTCCATCTTTGGCCCTGGGAACAACCCTAAGCTGGCTTTGATCCTCTCAAGCCTCAGCAGAACCCACTGGCTTCTGAGGACTACCTTGCTCTCTGACACTGAGTCGTAGTTTAGCGTCGTCTATTTTACATGCTGCGGCTCTGTAATCCACAATTTCTCTGAGTTCTGGCTCCTCCCAGGGTTGAATCGTATTTAGAAACCATGACAAGGACTCAGGGCGTGCACATTGTCACAGAATGTTGCTGCTCCTTCCCAGTGTCCTCAGTGGATGGACTGGGACTGCATAGTAATTCAGACCTGCGCACACAGACATGTCTCCGGATCTCCGGATGAAGAATATGAGCCCCACCCCCCATGCAGCATCGTCAGAACGAGTCTAGTTTTCTCCTCCTAAGTTTCTCTCCCACCTTTCTAACAGCAGGAACCTGCTTTGCATTACTTCAATATAATTATTCTGACAACTCTCCTCCCGGCTATGGGCGCCTTTCACTGCAGAGAGCCCCTAAAATGGACCCCAGCCTGTCAGTCCTATTTCATCGTCGCACAGAATACCTTCCTGTGAGCCACCAAAAGGAGGACAAAGGGGCAGGAAGCAGTGCTCTAGGAAAGTTCTGGAGACACTGAGAGCAATGTCTTAAGACCTGGGAAGAACGTTGCCTTTGCTTGTGGCTCTGTCTGTTTACAGCAATGGGACCAGTGTTGTCGTGGGCCTGATAAATACTAGACAGGATAGTAAACCCCTCTGGAAAGTTACCCATAGGCTTGCAAAACAACCATCCGTAGGAAAACAAGGCATCCTACCTGTCGCCTGACTATACAGATGCCCCGAGGTGTCTGGCTTTGTACCAGGACAACAACCTGACAGAAAAAAGTGAAAGACTTTGAAATGGGAAAAACACCTGAGGTCACTGAGTAGAGTTATCTTTTTCTTTTTAACTTTTAATTGATTGTCTATGAGTTTCACATGATGTGCCCCAATCCCACTGTCTCCTTGTCCCTTTATATCCACCGTCTGCCCTTGCAATCTCCCCCCCCAAAAAAAACAAAAATAAAACAAAAGCCTCGCCATGGAAGCTGTAGGATGTGCCAGTGTGTCCCATACATCTTAACTTCCCTTTGTCCACACAGCTTTACTTGTAAATGTTTATTGCAGTGTGTCATTGGTCTGGTTCGAGGTCTCTGGTTTCTGCTACACTCTCGATGCGGGACCCTCACCGGGGACTCCTCTTGGATATCCTGTTGTTGCCCTGTGTCATGGAGATCCTGCAGCTCTGCATCTGCAGGACCGGCCCCTTCATGTGCTACAGCAGTTC